CGGGCGGTAATTTCGTACGTTCCTGCGATCACCCTTCTTATAGAGGAGAGTGATCACCCCTTCGGTAGTCCTTTTTCCCAATGTTTTACCCGGAAGTACACCATTGAAAACTCGGAGGAGGTCTGGGGCAAAAATATCCCAGAATAACTCAAAGAATTCTACTGGAAGACCGTCGGGTCCTGGGCATTTGCCTCTGGCCATATCCTTCATTGCTGCAGTTATTTCACTTAGCAACGACGGTTGGTCCAAAAGTGAGCTTTCGGCCTGTGAAACGAGTCTGTGAGTTGAGCCCCAAAGGCGTTCCTCCCATTCGGGAGGTACCACTGGGGCTGTTGGGTCTTTTTCTGAGGTGAGGAGTTTCTCATAAAAAATACGGACGTAGTCACAGATTGTTTCTGATGCACATGCCGGGGTCTGGGTGTTATCGAAGGGATGCGCGAGTTCTCCCATTGGAGGGTTTTGCTGTTCATTTTGTCCTTGTGGAGGATATTGTCGATTTGTTTAAATTTGAGCCACGATTCATGTTTTGTGATTTGGATCTCTTGCCATTCCTGAAGCCATATGGATCTCCTAACGGCCCAGTGGCTATCGAAAAAGGAGAACTGCCCCATGCGTGCCTCCGCTTTCTCGATATTGCGGATCAGAGTAATCTCCTCCAACCTCCTATTGACCGCTTTAATTCTAGATATGTTGTTGAGAAATCCTGAGAGAAGATGGATCCCCTTATCTAGCCAATCCCCATCCTCTGGGAATAGGTTGGATGAGGATCTCCACTCCTCCCAAAAGTTACGGACCCATTCTATCATGTTTTTATCATCAAAGATACGCATATTAAGTTTGGAAGTACCTCTACCCTTGGTGAGAGAGGAACCCGCTATTAACGTGATAGAGATAGGTTTGTGATCTGATAGGGGGTGGGGGGTAATTTCCGCTTTGTGAATCAGTGGAAGAGCCATTTCTGTACAAAAAAAAATGTCCAACCGTCTGTAGACGATTGGAGAATTGCTCGAAAACCAAGTGAAATTGCGTACATCCGGGTTGAGTGTGCGATAAGGGTCAAAAAGTCCGACTTCTGCAATCATCTCACGGATGGATTGGACAGTGGGGAAGAGGAATCTAGAGCTTCATTCGGCACTGTGTTCCAATCCCCCCCAACAATCAGGAAATTTGAGTTTGGGATAACTGAGATGAGACCTTGAAAAAATTGAATCTTGGCAATGTGGTCTGTGGGGGCATACACAGAGATAAAGGTCCATTCCTGAGGACCAATCTGGAGTGAAACTTTGGTCCATCTCCCTGTCGGGTCTGTCTCCGACTGAGAGATGGAACTGCACAGGGAGCTATGGATCAGAATCCCTGTGCCCCCTCTGGTGCCTTCTGCCGGGGCCCAGACCTGGGGACCTGTCCACCAATCCCTCAGCTCAGCGATGCGGTCGCTGTTGAGCTTAGTCTCCTGTAGCAAAATGATTTGAGCATTGATGTAGTGGATCCAGGATTTGAGCCTGGATCTTCTATGTTTCCCATTTCCATCTACTGGTCCTCTCACATTCTAGGAGATCACCTTTACCTTAGAGGCCATCCGCGTTACCGGACGGGGCCTGTGGTTGGATGACTCCTTGGATTGTCAGGGGACCTCCTGGCTGTCTAACTGCTGCCGCGTTAGCTAGTAAGGCGGGATCCCACGAGGCCTTCAGCAGATCTGCAAAACTGCGTGTGAACAGTTTCATGTCACCCTGGAGACAAGCGTTGGTTTCTGTAATTATCTCACCTCTGATCCCATCCCCAATTTCGGGGATCAATCTTTCCTTCTCATTGGATTCCTTGAACCAACTAAGCGGGGCCCAGTAAAAATTCGAACCTGCTGAGCCGATGCGGCCTCCAGTTAATGACACTGTGTCCAAGCACAGGGCATGGATAGAGTGTATCTTACCTGAAGCACCAATCTTGTTGAAGGAAATGAGAGGGTGATTTGGGATGGGGCGAACAGCGCACACGTCTTGTATGAGCGACCTGCCCAGGTTGAAGAGGTACTGGGTCTGGGACTGCATTGACTATGGAGTGGGGGATTGTATAGCCACCTTGCTGATTTGTAAGGAGGAGCATGTACGGTCCCTGGTTGGTAGTCTTCAACAGCACAGGGACTGCAATATGTGCCCCTGACTGTTGATTCCTCTTCCCCTCTTCCCCTCGAGCGGGGGCATCCATTCGATCCTCCTCAGATTCCTCCTGCCTCGACCTTTTAGGAAAGCCGGTTCTGAGGAATCTATCCAGGTCCATTCCATCAGTCAGTGCTCCGCCTGCAGCAAGAGGGACGTTCCTCCCTTGTCCGGATCTGTCATTGGGATCAAGCTGCCGAGTCGTTCCAGATTGAACTGTTCCAGCACTGGCTTGACCATGCCCCTTCGGTGGGAGAGGGCATGCTGCTTGGCTGCTAGCGGGGATGGTGGGAATTTTCAGGAGCCACGAGGGGCCCTGAGATACTGGTTTGGACTGGTTGGGAAGACCCAGGTTGGATGAAGCGTGCTCACCTTGTTTCCTTGAGTAATTACCAGTCTTCTTACCCTGCGGTTTCGCGCCTGCTGAGGAGGTAAGTAACTGCGGGTTAAGCCATTGAACTGATCTGCCATATGAGCCTTTGTCTGCCGAATGCTTGGGATTAGTGCCAGGTTTGAGCTGTTGTTGTGAAGAGGAAGACTTGGAGGGAGGGGCTGAGGTGTGCTGTTTCCCTTTCTCTGGACGTCCCACATGCTCCATGGGAGTGGGACCAGATGGGAAGTCAGCACCTTCTGCAGCCTTGTCCAGACCTTCAGCATCGTCTTCACACAAACAGTCGCCTTCCAGCCTGATGTACCGTTTACAACCAGAACACCAAGGGGTGTTGCTGTTGACAAGATCCCCTGTCAAGTATCCTTTGGCCGTGAACACTTTCAATGAGCGGACAAATTTTTCTTCAGCATTGGGGTGTAACCCGAACTTGATGTTACCGAGGTTAGGGTCTATAGGGTCATTGATTATGTCGTAGTCCTTAGTTATTTTCCCCATGACCATTTCGATGCCCGATCTGATATACATTGAAGCATCAATCGGGAATCTCATGGCCATGACCCAGTAGACCTTCTTCTCCTCTTCCCTGTGTGCCAGCCAGTCTGCCTTTGGCATCCAGGGACGAAACAGAATCCGATAAGTCTTACCTTTTTCCACGAATCTCTCCATTCCTTTCTGAATCATCCATTCCGAAATTAGGGGAAGCTTCGGGATGTAAGTCAACTGCATCTTGCTTTCGAAATGAGTGAGACCTCTGTGTGTCAGAAGTTTGTCCTCTGGTAACAGGGCGTCCTCAATTGATCTGAGCAGATCAATCTTCTTGTCATTGGGGAGATTCTTTGCTTCACCTTGAAAAAGAATGGCTACCGCGTGGTGCTTCAAGAATTCTTCTTCTACCCTTCGAATGGATTCCTTCGGACAAATTTCGATACAACTGTCCTCTTCATTAACCGAGGCCTCAATGTAATCAGAGACGTCACGTGTGGATTGATTGAGATACCATCCCCCCACCATTGCGGCCAGGTGTGTGAGCTCTTCATTTGGCAAAGGTTGAATCGTGGTGGGGCCCTGATTTCGTGAGGATTCAGCGTTGGATCCGTTGATGCCTGGTGTGGCTTCCATATCTGCGTATGACCAGGTAGCAGTCTGGAGGTATTGGCGAGTGAAAGATTAATGGGAGTAGAGAGAGAGGGTTCTCAGTAAAGAGGAAAGGCTCTTGGTGTATGTGGGGTTGGGGATGCAGAAGTCGAGGTGTGAGTCAGGAGCGAGGTGTCGGATACCAGGTGCTGTCGGGATCCGACTTGGATGACTGTGTGCCGTATGGGAGCATCGACAAGAGTGAGAACATAACCCAGTGTCAAGGATTGGAGATATGAGCGTGTATGGAGCAAAGGGGGCAATTGGAGGATCACTCCATGCGGGAAGGGAGGAATGGGCCTGCACAGACGAGTGTATGGGGTGGTAGGAGATGTCCCACGATCTCCACGAAAAAAAAAAAAAAAAAAAAAAAAAAAAGCGTGTTTAGTGGTATGCGGGAAAAGGTGATGCAGAGGGCGGTGGGAGGGGTATACAAGAGGCGTGGAGTGGCGTGGCCGGAGTGATGACCGAACTGAAACTGGAGAACTGTAGTAGCTCGGAAGTAATTACGTGTAGGGGCGGGACGAGGGAGTGAGTGAATGGGAGTAGGGTATCCAACCGGGAGCCAACTTTTACGAAGTGATGTCGGAATCGGGACTGGGATGCTGTGGAAATTCAGTCGTGTGCATAATGTAGCGGAGGAGGAGAGCTATTTGGCAAGACTAATGCTTCGTGGGTGTAGGGCGGGGGTGGGGAGGTGGTAGGGGTTCAATTATTACGGAGTGGGCCCGTATTCAAGAACAGAGCCTGTGAAGGGGCTGCTGAAAAGGGATCTAGGCCAAAAAGGTGGAGAAGTAAAGAGTAAAGTGAAGTGAAACGCAGCACGAGGTATTGGCAGAGGGGTATTACTATTATTGGGAAATACTAACTTGCGCAAAGATTTGAAGAAAGTTGTTTGGCCAGAAAGTGCCCCTAATTTATATCATCGATGCCAAGGATTTCGGCAATCACCAAGTGGGACCAGGAAGAGACAAAATACCAAGTAAGGAATTCCCCACACAGTATTGAGTAGGAGGAGGGTGAATAATCCGCGGACCGACGAACAGCAAAGGTGGGACGAGAGACGAGGTTGAGGAGTGAGAGGGAGGAGTGTTAGTGTGAGCACATCAATCGGAATAAGCGTAGGTCTTGCTGCCCGAGGAAGTTTTGAATTGGGCCGCAGCGTGAAGCCAAGGGGAATATGCCTGGGTGAGGTAATTCTCGGTGTCTACACTAGCGGAACGCCTGAGTAGGCCGACGGGCATAATCCGAGGGCTCTGAGGAGCAGGTTTGGCCGAGAAGTGTCCCTACTTCATTCCAATGATATCGACTGTTTCGGACAAAACCTACTAGGACAGGAAAGAAAAAGAAAAAGAAAAATTACCAGATTAAGAAACGAGTTCACTACGTAATAATGAGTAAGAGGGGAGCTGGAGTTCCACCGTCCGACAAGGAAAGAGACTGAAAACGGAATTGAGATCAGGGGGAAATGAGTGTTAGTATGAGCACATCAACCAGAGGAATTGAAGAACTTACCCTCCAGAGGACTTGCCTGAATCGAGACGCAGCATGGAGCCAGAAGAGTTGTACCGAAGAAAGGAAGCTCTGGGTGCCTGCTGTAGCGGAGCGCCCAAGTAGGCGCTGCGCTGGTAAAACGACGAGCGTAACTTGGTAAAAATGACGACCGTTCTGAGCGAGCTGTGCGAATTGAGAGGATACCGGCCACCACACAGTTTTTCTCTGCAAGGCGGTATGGGAACTCGCCTCGGCTGGTGAGAAGAAACTGTTGCTCTTTGCCTCATTCACCGAGGTAAAGAGAGGTTGGCTATGGTGAATTAGGTTAACCGTAGTAGCTACGAAGCAGCGCGACGGCGCAGACGCAGCGCACGAGATTTGCGGCGTCGCTGGAGCGCGCTCCGGTACCCCAAAGCATCGCTCGTTTTTTTTCGTGTTTGCTTGGCTTCTTTTTTTTTTTTTTTTTCCGTTTCCGTT